TTGCTACTTGTCCCAACTTTTTTGGGATTTGTTGACACTGTGAAATTTTGAATCAACATATTTTTCCTTTAAAATGTTACATTTACTCAGATTAAACTTTTGATCTGTCATCTGTTATATTACGAATAAAATATTGACATTTGCCATCTCCATATCATTGCATTCAGTTTTTATTCACAATTTGTTTAGTGTCCCAACTTTTTTGGAATCCGGTTTGTACATGTTAGGGACAAAATTAGAGACATACATAGGGTTGAATAAAAAAATAAAACAAATCACATCAACATCCCACTGATCTTTATTAAATCCATCCATTATCATTACCCGCCTCTTCCTTTTCGAGTCGCGGGGTTCACTGGTGCCCACATCCAGCATCCTTTACTTTGGCCTGTGGGAGGAAACCCATGCATGCAGTGAACATGCAAACTCCATCCAAAAAGGTGCCAGGCTGGGATTAAATCTCTCTAAAATAAATCTGCATTTACTGATGAAAAACATGCCCACAGCATGATGCTGCCACCACCATGCTTCACTGTATAGACATGTTCTCAGCATGAAGAGAGGTGTTAAGTTTGTGCCAGACATGATGACAAAAGTTTAGCTTTAATCTCCTCTGGTCACAGCTCCTCCTTCCACTTGTATGGGGAAGAAATATGGGCAGCTTCAAACAATTACAAAAACAATGTAATAGACAATGAGAATAGTTTTATCACATTCCACTTTCAAAAAGTATTCCTTTGACTTCTGGATGAAAAGCACTCATGCCCAGCAGTCTCCCAGTTTGTGTGATGAAAAGTGCACTTTCATTCAGTAATTTCAGCTTTTATACAAAGCACAACATTTATAGCTTAATGAAATCTAAACAACGTGTAGAACAACTAAAAAAAATTAAAAAAAATATTTTTAAAAGCCAGAACATTTGGAGTTTCTTGTAGGGCTGCTCAGTAATTAAAAAATATATAATCACTAATCTTTTGATTAATATTAAAATCCCTGTTAAACACAATTACTCACTCATTTTCAGAGCGGCAGCGCCTCTCATGAGGCTGCAGCCTCAGGCTCCCCGTCTACCCATGTCTATGTTGTTTGTGTTTCTGAAATTAAATTTCATTGTGCTTCTGTGCAACGACAATAAAGCTGATTCGGATTTTAAAAATATTTCATTTACTACACGTGGAAAAGTGGAGTTCTGCTTTATTTGTTAAAGGTGGGAGTCACTACCTTGTTACACACTCATGACACCTACAGTTTAAATGTAATGCCCTCTGGACTGTTTAATTAGGATCACTGTAAAATCAAAGAAATAAGGGCCCGGGTACAGAAAAATCCTAATTTTAGTCTCTTTATTCCTTCACTTTTAATTAAAATGATTTAAACAAAAAGCAGAACAAACAAAAATAAAGCTCTTCGTGTTGTACGAATAGAAAAGTAGAAAAAATTTAACTCAAAGGGATTGTAATTGACACAGTCTCTGTGCAGCATCTTTGTAATGAACTTATGTTGCCCACGATGCCAGCATGTGCATGTCATCGTCCTCTTCAACCTTTCTTCTGGTTGCTGTAAAAAAAAAAAAAATCATTATAGAGTTTTAAATTTTCTACTTTCTTCTCTTATTGAGAGCACATATAATTATAGTTTTGTTTAATTGGCCACCTGAAAACTCTGAAAACTAACAAAAGAAGTGCCTGAAATGTTTCAATTTGATGCGTTTTCTTCAGATTATGAATTCTGAATTCTGTTACAGATAATCCTGTGAACATGGAGCAAAAGTGACTGGTTCCTGTGCTAACGCCAGATTCTTTTTTCCGCACTGTAAAACAAGTCATGCACGTGTAACTTGGTTGGCTAAACTCTTCCTGATTGGACTTTTTCAGCATCAGTCAGTTGCTGGCGTGACTGTTCTGATCTCATATTAACCAGAGACTTTCATGTTTTCAGTTAATATTAAAATAATTTATAGTCTTGATGATAAAATTCGCTTTTATGGATCCAAATAATTAAGTATGGACTTGTGAAATTGAGAAAAGAGGCCTTGATATTTCAAGCTAACATACTCGAGCCGTTATCACAACAAAACAAGCTTCATTATCTCCAGACGCAGGTAAATATTTCATTTTAAATAATGAGAACATCTCTCAGTTTTTCTACAAAAAAAAAAAAAAAAAATTACGTTATAGTGATCATCTCAACTTGTTTTTTGTAACTATAATAATTTTATTTCTTCAGGAAAGCGTTTTTTATGGGAACTCTGAGTAAACCTTGAGGTTACAATAAAGGCTGAGTTTTTTTGCTTTAGAAAGTTAAATGAAACTTGTCTGTCACCATAGAAACAGACACCGAACTAACTCTGTTTGCTGGCAGGTTTTCTATTAAAAAAATTTCTGTTTCTACAGTCCCATCCTACCTGAAGCAAGTGGCCGACACGAGCTGCCCAGTATTAAACAATCTGACTGATAGTGAGACAGAATCACTGTCATGGTGCCGAGAGAGGATTTCACTACCTAGTTTGGATCTGCTCTCGTTCCCAGATTTGTTTTTATTTTATTTTTTAGTGGAACAATATCGCTCTTCATTAGCCTATCTAATTTATCTCGGTAACATCCTGCTGCTACACACATCCATTACACAGCGTGTGGATGTGTGCTCACATCAGAGCAAATTTTGTGCATTGCGATGACAGAATTTGCATAAAAAAACAAACGATAAATGCACCTTCACAGTCAAAATCACCGCAAAACACAAAAACAAATTCACCTCCATTTGCTTTTCTTTATTTCCTGCAAAATGCTACAAATGCAACAGTTGGGGTATGTTGAAAAATGTTCCAACTATTAAATCTTTCACCTGAGAAAAGCAGGTGTTCCAGTTCCATTGGAGTTCCAGTAATAGAATAGATCTCCACGTTTCTGATGTTTGTTTTTTTTAATTGGTTTGGTTTTATTTGTTACTGTTTTTTATGGGCTGTAATTTTCTCTCGTGTAGTCTCTCTTTGGCTGCTGCTCTTGCCATGTTAATTTTTTAACTACTGGTAAACGTTTTACTGCATTCCTCATAGCACTTACACTTACATCTGAAGCCAGTGAGGCTTCACATCACTTTTACTAAAACTTAATTTTTGTTCCATGCAAGCATGCATATTGATTATCAATATGCTTCAATCATTGTCCATACACAAGCATCAACTGTATCCAGCAGCTGTAATGATCAAAACCTGTTCCTCCTGCCTCCATCACCTGTCACTGACAGTTACCAACTTATATAGGAAGATGAAAACATGTTAGTTTATAATAAATGATGCCTGAATTCTTAATTATCTTATAAAAGACTTCCTGCTCGTAACTCTAGGTTAAGATACTTAAAAGTTTTTTTTAACCCATTGTAATCAGCTGTTCATGCATGAACATCTGGAGGTAAAATTATGTTTTTTTGTGCAGCTTTCATAGGAGCTCATTTCAAACGTGGATCTACGCTGCAGATAACTTGTGCAGAGATGACCGAGAGTAACGTTGCATGACAGGGCTTTGTTTTGAACTCACTTGCACGCTGACTGGGTCGGACTGAAGGCAGTTTGGAGCTGGGAACGCTGGGCAGCCCGCCCATACTCTTCACGTTGTCCTCCAGCTCCTGCTGCTCCAGCTCCTCAAGCTCCGCAAGCAGCTCGTCCTAAAAAAAAAAAAGAAATAAACACAGATTAGCAAAAGATGCATAATAAGCGACAGATATATATATATATTTTTTAATGTGGGTCATTAGAAAAAAAATTAACATAAACCTCATCGAATTGTTCGCCAAAAGGCCCGGAGATGGCTTCGCTGATCTCCCGAGCCACGTCTTGTTGCTCCGTGATATCCTGCATCAGATCATCTATTTTGTCAACGTCCCTAAAATTGAGAAATGAGAACAGGAACAAATTAAACATGCAAAATTTAAATTTGTAACAAATGCAAAAAAGTAAAATATAAAAAATTTAAAAAAGTTTATAAATAATGCACGCCTTCTCAACAAAATAACGAGGTCTTCATCAGGTAACTTGTGCGGATTCATTTTTGTTTCACACTGTTGTTTTATTAATAAGAACATGTCGGGTTTTATGTTTAATACCAGGCTCCTACATGTTCTCGTGGACCTTCTTCATGGCCTTGGCAGCAAAGCCCATGTTCTTCAGGACCTCCGTGTTGGTGTGCGAGTTCTCCAGAGCTTCTCTCTGAAACTCGATGGTGGAGAGCGTGCCGTCGATCTGAGTCAGCTGCTGCTCCAAGCGCTTCTTCCTCTTCAGGGCCTGCAGGGCGGCTGCAAGTGAAGATGATGGAGGAATCAAGCCATTTCTTAAAGATCCCTTTCTGTTTATGAAGAGTTGGGCGTGAACAGAGAACAGATACACAGTTCCTCCCTTTACATGACGAGGTTTATTATTAGTCCGAGATGATTCACTAAGGAACGCAGCTAAGAAAGCACCTCGCAGCGGGTAGAGCTGCAGGATTTCTGCACAGGGAGGGAAGAACTCACAGGCTTTGTGAAATATTTCTCCTTTTTATGACTTTTTTTTCATGCGTTTTTAAACGTTCAAACATGGTGAACAAACTCCAGCAAACCATTTAGGTGGTGTAGAGTTCACAGTAGTTACAGGAGTCTAATGTTCCAGTCCATACCTCCACCTGCTGGGTTCACAACAAGCAACTAAAACATGGCCGCCTTCAAGTTTAAAGCTGTTCCTTTTGTTCAACTAAAGAATATTTGAAGATTTCAAGCTTAATAACTGTGTGAATCTTCAATTTGTTTAAAAAAAAAAGTGCCCTTTTGTTTAATTCACAAGCCAAAACAGAAAAATATTACTCAAGCCAAAAAAAAAAAAAAAAAAGCTTTGATGAAGTGCAGGAATTCTAAGAAATATAATATTCTAATTATATTCTGATTTCAAATGGTTTATTTAAAAAATAATTTGTTATTGTAAAACTGAAATAAGCTGTTTAATAACCTATACAAAAGTAATAACCTAAGCTTTTTTTACTTTAAACATTGATAAACTTGAAGGCGTAACTGTCTTTGAGTTCAATTGTTTCTAGGTGTGTTACTTTTGAATCAGCCGGGCGATGACCCGGGTAGAAGTGGCGACAAGGGGGGAGGGGAGGAGCCTCTTGGAAGGCAAAGAGTTTAGAGTGAAGAGTTATCACCTTAAATCTGGTTAGCACAATCTATATTTATTATGTAATTTGACAGTTGACAACTTAAATGAACAACACACCAGATATTGCTGTTTATCAAAGAGCCGGTAATTTATAATACTCCGCAGATTCCATAAACAACTTTGTTTTGTTTACATCAGCCACATGGTTTAGTCGCTGGGTTTAAAAACTGTATGATATTCTTTACTCCATATAATTAATTTAACATGTCTATGGCTGGGTCTCAAAGGGGTATTTGGCTGATACATAGTAGGCATGCCGCGCAATAAACAATAACGAATTGCATGATAAATGAAAATTATCAACCTCATTTTCATTTATCGGCTTTATCGTTTTTTCATGTCTCTCTTTCTACTGAAGACACTGAATGACAACAAGCTCAAGTCCGGTACTCTTTACTGACCCCTAACTTTCTCTTTAAAATCCATTTTAACCATCTAAAATTGCGTTTTTCGATTGTTAAAAAGCAGCTAAGCTGAGAAGCTAAGCTATGAGCTAAGCTAACAGGCCGACCTCGGGGGGGGGGGGGGGGGGGGACTTTGTCTTGTCAAAGCTCCAAAAATTCACGCTTGAAGCCCATGCCTTTGTGTAAAAAGTTGTTTTTCTCTGAAAAAAGAAGCTGAGAACTTGTTTACTATTTTTTATTAAAAGCTTTGTGTGAAAAATGCTATGCTAAAGAGCTCAAACCGCACCGAGCATCCGCCAATTTGAAAACCGAAGAAAAGGAAGGAGAGACATCCCATGTCACGTAAAGCAGCCTCCCTCCCATTTTTCTTAAAGAAACACACTGCTCGCTCCCTCACTATCCCTCCTACGGCTCAAACAGTCTTATACTGCCATCTGGTGGTCAAAATGGTATTACACTCACAACAAATTAACCAACATTTCTTCTTAAATTTGACAATAATTACTAATTACTGTCAAATTTCAAACAATATTATTGTTAATCGCAATAATTTCTGAGACAATTAATCGCCCAGCAAAATGTGTTATCGTGACAGCTCTAATACACAGCTTCAAATTGAAACGCAGTCTCCGCCTACCCAGCTAAAGCCGTTATGTCAGCTGGGCAGTAAATGGTGCGCATCCAGGACTCCTGCTTTGTTTACATGGCAGGTGATTCTCAGCAGCAGATAAAGTCAAGTAAAAACAACTCAGATATAATTACTGAGGAGGTTAACATATTCAAAGTGACTTTTTTTAACATGTACCTGAAAAGGCCACTTTGAAGCTGCACTGATTACACATTTCTGAACTGAAGGTGTTGAGTACAGCGCCAGCACCTGTGCAGGTGAGAAGAAAACCTTACCCCTCTTGTTTTTCGTGCCATGTTTCTTAGCTGTGGCTACTTCTTGTTGTATTCTGTTCTCCAGGTATTCCTGCTTCTTGGTCAACATCTCCTCCGTTTCACGGAGCTTGTGGATGGCCTCCTGAGGAGACGGACCTCCCTTCGACCGGTGTTTGGACTTTGAAGAGCTGGACGAACTCGAGCTGCTAGATGAGCTGCCCTTGAAAAGCTTCGAGATTTTGCTCATTTTAGCAGCTTTGACAGTAAACGTGGAACTTATCAAAATATACAAACACACGAACTCCACAGAATCCGAGACGATCCGTGCTGTTTCACAGGCGGGTGAGTTGCAGATTTTCCTGCTAGACGACTTTTGTGTTTTCCGTTCAACCCTGGCAGTGAACGCACCTTTCGGCACACCTTGTGACGTCAGGGCGTCACCAGGCCTTTCACCTGTCAGAACAACCTGTTCATTCATGGATATAAATTATAAATCTGCATGAATAATGACAAATATTTAGCGATAAACTAAATAAAGTACGTTTAATTTAAAATATATCTCACAAACTAATTCTTCAAAAATATAGATTTTATTCTGGATGAATCCGGGATATTTTATAAATGGAATGTATGTAATGTTTTAATGTTTAATTTCTGTAAAATTTCGGAGAGGGAAAATTATTATTTTTATTTTATTTGAGTTAGATGGGGCGCATCAGTTAATCTTTCCTACCGCTAGGTGTCGCTACGGTTCCACGACGTTCTTGCTAACCGCAAAGAAGAAGACTTTGGCTCAACATAGCTAACTAATGGCCGGGTTAGACATTGGGAAACATTGTCAAGTAGATTCCTGCAATCTGAAAGGTCCGTTGTGGTTTTTAAAAAAGCATTACAAATAAAAATATTTAAGTGTGCTTTTATTTTGCTGGTTAAAATGAAAAGCCTGATGTCTCGGTAGCATGGCTAGCCTGTTAGCTTCTTTAGCACCGTAGCGTTGCAGGTATGCTAGCTGCTGTCACTGCGTCTTGTAAACAAACAGCAGTGTGATTAAATTATTCAGCTTTGTTGTTTTGCTTTTTAGTCAAGTCTTTCCTTAAATTACAAGTCAGATGAGCTACTTTTGGATAACTTTGTATTTGATTCCTCTAGAATTTTGGGCTTTGTGATACTTTTTTTCTCAAACTTCTTGCCTTTGTGTTGCTCCTTGTCCTGACCGACAGTTTTTCTAATTATACTGTTATAGATTTTCTTCCATTTGTGTGTGACTTCTGCAGTGGCGTTTATTGGTAAGTACGTATAAAGTCTCTTTCAGACTTGGAAGATATTGGTCTTAAATTAAGTCAAACAAACGTTTTTAAACTGAGTTATACAAATCAGGTTTTTTTTACTTTTTTAAACATACAGGGTCTAACTTGTTCATATTAGTGGCACATTTGTCCTAAAATGTGAAAGAGGTTTCAATTTCAGCCTTTATAACTAATGGAAGAAAAAAAATCTACAGGGGCAATGAGTAAATATCATTTGATACTTTTCATCTTTGATGTTTAAGAGTATTTGTCATTGTTAAAGACGGGAGCTGGCTGCGGGCCACCGGATCCGGAAACCCCTCCAGCCCACGTCTTTACCCCCGGCTCGAACCTTCCTCAGAAGTGGCAACTATACTAATCAATAAGTCAAGGAAACGTCAATTTAGTTTTATCAAATTATATATTATATTATATTATTAGAAAAGGCAGCGCTGGACAGTCTGTGTCTACAGTCTGTGTCTACAGTCTGTGACGCCACAGACCCGGAAGAAGAGCCCCGATGTCTCGTGTCATTATTAATTTATAGGGCCCTAAAGACTCCACCTTCACAGAAGGGGAGCTCAACCTGTCAGTGTACAAGGGGACGTGGCTAAGTGTGATCTCAGGGATCTTATGTGGACTGACGTGTTAGGAAATATGAGACATCGATCCGGGTCACGGCACCAACTGTTAAAGACGGGAGCTGGCTGCGGGCCACCGGATCCGGAAACCCCCTCCAGCCCACGTCTTTACCCCTGGCTCGAACCTTCCTCAGAAGTGGCAACTATACTAGTCAATAAATCAAGGAAACATCAATTAAGTTTTATCAAATTATATTCGAAAAGGCAGTAAAAGATTACAATTCACAGCGCTGGACTCTACAGTCTGTGACGCCACAGACCCGGAAGAAGAGCCCCGATGTCTCGTGTCATTATTAATTTATAGGGCCCTAAAGACTCCACCTTCACAGAAGTGGAGCTCAACCTGTCAGTGTATGAGGGGGCGTGGCCAAGTGTGATCTCAGGGATCTTATGTGGACTGACGTGTTAGGAAATATGAGACGGTGCTCCAAAGCCTTTCTACGTGATGTGGCAAGCAGATCAAACTCTATTCCGTGACAGATATTGAATCATCAGGGAGACTCTCTTTTAAGAGTTTGCTGGCCCAGTTTAACCCAGTCAGAACCGGGTCATAATTTAATTATAATCCAGTCTCTGAGCAGATCAAAACCATAGGACCAGTCTAAATAAGAAACATCTTAACATCATGTTTTTGTTTTATTGTGACATTCTTTTTTCTGTCTCAGTCTTGAGCACAGAAGCAGAGACACCCATTCATGTTCAAAGGTAGGCTACTATATATGGCAAGTTTTTCTTAAAAGTCAAGTTTGCTACTGATAGACTTCTCCGGACCCTTTAGTGTGGCTGTTATGTTTATAATCTTGTTTTTTATTTTTTTATCAGGAGCCAGTTAAAAGGGAATCCCAGACGGCTGTTGGTAGCTCGAGCTATCCATGCTCATTTGAAGACTGCAAGGGAAAAGAACTGCTGCCAGTTTTATGTCCACAGTGTGAAAAACAATTCTGTTTGGCGTAGGTTTATCATTTTTAATGTACTTAATTTACTCCTTTATAATGAAAAACATTTTTTAGTTTGCTGTTGTCATTTACACTTCAAACCAAGGGGTTTATTTTTATTTTTTTACAGTCTATTGCTTTGCAGAAACAGTTTATTTTGTTTCTTTTATTCCCTGTAGCCATCGTCATCAAGATGACCACAAGTGTGAGAACTTGGAAGTCCAAAAGCCTCGAATGTCTGCCACCAAAGAGCTGGTACAAAAGATAGTTGGTCAGTAAAACAAAGTGCAAAGCTGCAGCAGATTCAGTTTTAGCCAGTGTTCTCATCCCTCATCACTAAAACACTAAAGCATCTCATTCATCTCCTCGTCCATTCAGAGTCAAAGGACGGATCCAAAAGCAAAGGGCGCAAAGGAGCAAAGAATGCAGCCACTGCAGCAAAGGTAGCTCTTATGAAACTGAAGCTGCATGCTGCAGGAGACAAGGGACTGCCACAGGTAAAGCTCTGTTTGCTTTTAGTTGTAAATTTAATGGTCATTACAGCTTCTTGGCACGTTACTCATTAATTGAGCCTCTTCCAATCTTTTATGCTTTTCAGACAGAAAGAGCCTATTTTCAGGTGTATCTTCCAAAAGAAGCCAAAGACTGCAGCCAGTCCATGTTCTTCTCTTCCAAATGGAGTGTGGGCAAAGTTGTGGATTATGCCGCCTCTTTAGCCAGCCTCAAGAACAACAATAATATACTGACAGCAAAGGTAAAAAAAAAAAAAAAGCAGAGAAAATGTTTTAAAACACATTTACACAACATTTACAACAGCTACTTTATTCCCTTAATGTACAATCTTCATTAGTCGTCCGTCATATGTCAGAAAAGTGTTCTGCATATTTACAGAATAAGTTATTGTGCAAGCATACATTTCATTATGACGTTTAGTTTGATCACCATTCAGGCCCATTTTCAGGATAGCTGCTAGTGAGATGTGTGTTACAGAAAGCTAAGTGGCATTTTTATACATCACCTAATTACGTAAATAGATACAGTACTTACATTTTATATTACCTACACGCACACAGACACAAATCAATTTAAAATGTTCACCTACAAACAATTATCTTTAAACCAATTGTCTTTTTGTTTCTATAAAAACTTAATAGTGTTTTGTATAAAAATCATGTCAAATGATATAGAATTATTAGCGTTAGAACAGTCATTTAGATTGTTTTGTGCAATAGTAGAAAAGTCTCATTTTAGTTTTTTAAAACGTTAGATCAAATAGAGAAAATATGTAATCACTTAATTTTGAGGAAAATTTCAGGAAATTTGTTGTATTTTTAAAACAAATTGCTGCAGAAGTTTGGCTACCAAAAAGAGCAGGTAAATACTGTGTACTGTACACTTTATCAAACTGCTGCTTCTGGCTGTCAGGTTAGAAACTTAGCCCAAACAAAAGAGTGGTTAGTTGAAACGACTGCAAAGTTTATAAAACTGTCAAGTAGACAATTCAGTGAAAAGAAAAAATGATATTCAGCCAGCAAACTTGTTGATCCACTATGAGAAGGTGCTGCTTATAAGACTGTTAGCTTGCATATCTTCATTCTGAAGAAGTCTTTTGGATAAAAGACAAAACCTTTCAACAAAGAAGAATCCATCCAGAGGACCTGACTCAATCTTCAGATTCATGCTCAATAATCCAGGTCCAAAAATCCAACAAAGTCAAGTCATGTCCTCTGGAAGGATTCTTTTTGTTGAAACCTTTCATCTTTCATCCAAACAAAACCCTAACCCTGACTCAACCTTGTTCAAAGTCACTTTATTGTCAAAAACTGCAATATGTACAGGACATACACAGGATCGAAATTGCATTACTCTCAGACCCCGGTGCAACAATAACCATTTAACATTAAAACATTTAATAAACATAAGCAAAAAATGAAATAATAAAAGCATGATACTGTCTTAAATTGCACTATAGCGGTATTAAAAAGTATTTTAAAAAGTGTATCTATAAAAATAAAATGAAATGAAGGTCCTGACAGTGATATTTGTAGTGAGTGGCAAAGCAGCATATGAAGTGAATGTACATAGTGTATGTATGAAGTCCTTGATATTGGTGTAGGTAAAGTGACATATGCAGTAAGGCTAGTAAAAAATATATATATCAGCGGTAGTGTAATATAAGCAGCAGTGTGAATATAAACAGTAGTGCGAATGTAAACAGTAGTGCGAATGTAAACAGTAGTGCGAATATAAACAGTAGTGCGAATGTAAACAGTAGTGCGAATGTAAACAGTAGTGCGAAAGTAAACAGTAGTGCGAAAGTAAACAGTAGTGCGAATGTAAACTGTAGTGCGAATGTAAACAGTAGTGCGAATGTAAACTGTAGTGCGAATGTAAACAGTAGTGCGAATGTAAACAGTAGTGCGAATGCAAACAGTAGTGCGAATGCAAACAGTAGTGCGAATGTAAACAGTAGTGCGAATGCAAACAGTAGTGCGAATGTAAACAGTAGTGCGAATGTAAACAGTAGTGCGAATGTAAACTGTAGTGCGAATGTAAACTGTAGTGCGAATGTAAACAGTAGTGCGAATGCAAACAGTAGTGCGAAT